CTTTACTTACTATCAACAGTAAAATGGGCAATTGAAAAGACAATGTATTAGTGTTTGATTTTATCTTTTTTCATAAGCAGCATCTTTAATTATGCAGAACAGTTAATGGAACAAAGCAGCCTGAGCTATTTTGAGAGCACAACTTTCCTCAGTGTTTAAAAATTTGGCTTCCGGACAATTTTGCTGATAGTTCTGCAAAACTGTTTTTTGGCAGCTAGGCAATGGTTGCAGTGTGTCTGCATTTGTTTTTTAATCACAGTGTCATAGCCACATTTTTCCAGTCCAGTGAAGCAAGAACAGGCATGCAGATTTAATTTGTTTCTGACTCTGGAGGAGTTCTTCACTGGCTAAATGTATTTACCATTGTGTTGCTCCCAGGCCTAAGAGGTCCCCGAACAAAAGACAGCATTCTGTTCCCCAGTTGTAAAGTTCACTTACAGAGATTCGTTAAGCTCTGAGTAGGTCACAGGCTGAAAATCACAAAGGTTTCCAGAAGAACTGGGGAAGGGAGCGGCTGTTTGAAGTCTCTCACCTATTTGCCTGTAAAAGCACAAGACTTCATCTTTTACTGCGTGCCACACACTCACTGGGTGACTGGCTTACCTTGTATAATAAGTTACAACATATTACATCTCTTTTTTTAAAGGGTCTACAAAAATTTAACAGCATAAAATAATTCTTTATATAATCTCATGGTAATTTCATATGTGTTTCTTTGAAGGTCTATAGATTTACAGAGAATTATTTCAGTTCTGTAGATTCATTAAATCATCTTCTAGATTTCCTTAGCAGAAATCTAAGTTTCTATGTTTCAAAACACCTGTACAAAAGATATATGTTTTAATATTACAGGATTACTCATAAGGGATGAGAAATATCAGAGGGTCTCAGTTTCCCATTTTTGCCTCAGGACATTACAGAAGACCTTACAACTTTTTATTTTAAATTAATACTAATAAAGAATAATCTTATAGTTGGTCTCATGTTTTCTGACATGGCATTATTTCCCATCATACTTAAAATATGAGATTTGAATGTATGAGGCACTATTCAATTTTTAGCATTAGTTTGTGAAGCATAAAATAAACATTTTATAGTCAATAGTATACTTAAAATGTAACAAATACTGGGCAAAAGATATGATTTTCAAGATTCACATGGAAATTTTTTTTTTATATGGCCAAATTTTATTCTTGTTGTCATTGCCATTCATCCACAGTGTATGGCACTGAAGTGATCAGGTTTTCTCTGGTGTGCAAGTATCGGCAAATGGAATTGCTTTGCTGAACTTCTGGAGGCTTTAAATCAATCTTGCTATTGAGATCTTTAAATATTGTTGATAACTAAGAGGAACTTCTCCATTTCACTAGACTTAAGTTTCTCCTGGTCTCCATTCTAGTGGCTTACTGCTAAGGGAACTTTGAAGCATCTAAAGGTTTCATAGGTGTATTCATGTTCATAACTTACTTTAATTTATTTTAAAATCTGAAAATACTTGGAGAAAAACTGAATACAAAATCAGAATAATTTATATAGATCAAAAGTATTGTTATAAAACTAAAAAACTCCTCTATGCATGTGTTTTCCGGGAATATAGATGCAATATTGAGAAGATGTTTATCTTTTGGAAATTTGAACCTGCTCATTTTCTTCAAAGTTGCACTAGCTTAATGAAGTTGTTTTAAAATCAAGAATAAACTTTGTAGGTATGTAATCTAGCTCATGCGGAGAACTGTAAACCTTATTTGAATTTATTTATTTCCTGTCTGTTTTACTGCGATTGCATTGTCATATATAAGCAGACAAACTACATTTCAACTACACAGAAGGTACAGGAGGCGATCAGTGTGCAGTGACACACAGTAGGGTGTAGGGTAAATTGCCTTTGAATTGACTGATAAGCGTCCAGTTCTAAGTTCTTAATTTTTTTCTGCTTGGATATCTAAACTGGGACTGTGAAATTCCCTCAGAGATCTGAATGCTCCAGGCACCACAACATTCCACTTGTTAAAATCTCTGTGTGGTTTTGGTCTTGTTGTAAGTTAACACTGTGGAAAAGGGCAATTATATTTTCTTCACCTGTAAACATTTTTTAAGGAAATGCTTCTTTTCTGGAGTGCACGGGTTCTCCTTGTATGAAAATATATCTTTGTGAAAAGCCTGAAGTAATTTCTTACAGCAAGAGAAAGCTTATTTGAACAACTGACAGAAAGAATACGTCCACGAGTTATGACCACCACCACCAAAGGCAAAATCAAAGGGGGACATAACACTGTCTCTTTAGAGTATTTAATGCATTTAACTGATAGCATTTCTCTGCATAATACCCAATGAAGACATGGCCAAGAGAAGGGGAAAGTCATATAGATACCATCCTGGTCATAAGCTCCGTACTAAGTAAGAGGTGTGTCTTTGATTGAGCAAAGATGATATTTTCTTGGATCTGTCACTGAAATGATTACTCAAATCTGTAGCTTGGCAGGATTAACGTGCTCTTTCTCATTCCCATCGGAAGTAGTAATTGGCAACTTTTAGCAAGAAACGGTGTACTAATTTGTAGTAAGATAAATGCAGTTTACCAGCACTTGTTTCACTTATCCCATGCAAAAGAAGATTTGATGATGCCTTGTTTTCCTAGATCTCTGGGCTTTTTTTACAGAAGCACAGCCAACATAATCTATTTTAGAACTGGCTCAGGGGAAAAGCAATTTCTCATTTGAGCTGTACTCTCTCAATGATAGATTTGGGATTTCAAGACCAGTGCTATTACCAGTCATTTCTTAAAGTGTTTGGAGAACCTCGCCTCAAAAGAGGTAAACAGGTCACAGACCTTCCATATAACTCTAAACAATCACGAAGTGATTTACAGTTCTGCAGTTGAGTGCTTCACCAAATAGTTGTGCTAAATATAGTTACTTGCACGATACATTCTTCCGGGATTTGAAAAAATAATTTGTATAAAATAAAGACTGCCCCAGGCCTGGGCATAAAACTTGGCCCAAAGCATATATTTCTGCAGGTCAAAAAACCTTTAACAACTTGTTAGATTAGGTATGCCTTTGTATTTCTAGTAAAAGGCAAGAAAATCAATGCCATGAGAAAAGCCATTATTTGAAATGAACTGACTAGAAACTCCTAACTACTGGAATGATTCCAGTACAAAATGATCCATCTTCACTGTGATTTTTTTCCCCTTCTTTTTTAGGGCCATCCAAAAATACACAGCTGCCTCTCAATTTCCTCAGAAATGCTGTTGAACCTTCCCTTTGTAGCAAGCTGCTCCATCATTCCCATGAGTGTGGGAGGCCCTGCTCATTTTCTCTGCAGATGTGAAGTGCAGTAATGTCACCTCCTGTACATGCTTTGTCACATGGCAAAGAATTTTAAAAGTACAGAAAGATGGAATAAAATCTTGCATATCCACTCTTTAGTGTCAGAAGCAGGAAAATGCAGAAAAATTATACTTTATATGTTCATTGGCTTACAGGTGTATTAGAATTTATGGCTCTTAACTATATGTTTAGAATGGGCAGATAAGTGGTAAGTTGTCCAAAACTTTCTATGAACATAACTGTGATTTACAAAATCCAAAAGTATTTTGAGGTTATATTCCTGACTACAAAACATTTATTTAGTGTGATTAAAACTTCAAGAATAATCTCATTTTTAAACCATCTTTACAAATTTCTTTTAAAAAACACTCAGTGACAAATTTCTTTCTTCTTAAGTCTTGTCTTCCCTGCATATGTTGTGTTCCCACTAGTTTTTTCAGGTCCCGGTTGCCAGGTCCAGTCATACAAATGAAAGTCAAGGGATGTGCTCCAGATAAATATTCATGAATAGGGACAAAGGAAACATCATTATGGTCCCATCTACAGGGCAGTAGGTTTATAAGGCACTCTCCACTTGGCAAAGGATCTGTTCTCATTGCTTCACCAATGACAAATTCCGTGTTGCAGGCAGTCCTAAAACTGAGCTGCTTCTAGGGATTTAAAATAGGAGGCAGCACTGTTTCTGCAGGTTTGCCAATACTTTTCCCTTAGTTCAAAATGCATTAGGAGCATTTCTGCTACTGTGCTTGTTCATTAAATGAGATGCTAAAAGGGTGTGTCAAAGGTAAAGAGAAGTCAGACTCAAATTGATAAAACTGAAATCCAATTACAGCTTTTAAAGGCAAATTACATTTCCCTTTCCACTCTGTTTTGGAAGTGGTTACCTGATCAGTTAATTTACAGATCTCCCATACACAATAGACTTCCAAGAAACAAATACCTAACAGATCTGAAGTTATTTCCAGCACCACTGTACCTTGAAATGTCCAGTTGTTGGAAGGAACTGAAAGTTTTGCTCTTCAATTATTGCTTTTTTTAACCATAAACTACTAATTTCCAGTATACTTTTGCACAGTGACCAAACTGGCAACGTGGAATCAGGCTTTGTGTAAGGCACCTATTAAGCTTAACTTAAACTCACTGACTTGAAAACATTACACCAAGTCCCCACTTCTCTTGAAAAGCAGTGCTCCTTTGGCCTTCATCTAGATTTTCAGAAAAGAAATTATAGGCTGTGATAGTGCAAGATGGCTCTTTGAAAGAATGAGTCAGTCATAGTAATCATTTCAGTTTGCCCGGACAAAGTGACAAACTAGCACATTTAAGGATGTAGGAAAATGTGGTTGCCTCTCATCTTTAGACTCCTATGTAAAGAAAAATTTCTAATGTCAAGATCGTTTTTTCAGTGTGACTGTCACAGAAAATGTTGTTGAAGGCATAATAAATTGTTCCTGCTATGCAGCTTATAATCTCCATAGCAATGTGTGATTAGGTAGCTGTATAAGGTTATCTAATGGTCTGTGAAATGCTCTGGGAAAAAAACCTCATATTATTTAGATAAAACTTGATGCAACTAAATTAAGTGAAGACATTTCTACCTTCTATTTGTATTCTAATGTCTTTTATTTCTGCTCTGTTTGTGTTGTGGTTTTGGTTTTTTTTAATTAGAAGACAACAATGGATGGTCTCTGCAGTTTGACAAACATTATACAAAGGACAAGTACAACAAACTGAAATCTCTGTATGCATTTCAGAAAAAGACATCTGAGTGCTGTAAGTAAATGCAGATATTATATGAGTGATTATTAATTATGATTCCTAGAGAAAAATACACAGCAAATATATGCTTATCAGGAAGAGAAAGATAGTGCAGTTTCATTTATAGTAAAACAGAATTAATGTCTCGGATAAACAAATGCTAATTTGAAGTTAATTTCAGTTCCATTACGGATGATTCATTTTCTGCAAGAGATGTGTCAAACATATGCCAATTAACATGTTCCAATTGGGAGGATAATATAAATGTTTATTTGAATATTTTGATACTGTTGGAAAGACATATATTTCACACATATTTCAGAGTGAAATGAAGGCAACATTCCCCTCAGTTCACTTCTTTGTACATCAAATGAAACTTGCAAACCTGCTCCACTTATACAGGCCTTTGTACAGACTTTTTGATTCTGCTGCCTGCTGTGAGCACTAATTTAAAATGCAGAGTTGGGCTGAAAGGGAGCAAAGATTTCCTGACCCATTTTCAACCCATTTTCACCCAGACAGAATTGTGCTCATTCTAGTAAAATAAGAGGACTGAATAATCTAAATAATAGCTGCAAAAAATCCATGCCAGATTCCTGTATAACGGACCTAAGGCTCAAGAGCTTTTAAAAGCTCTTTCACAGAGGCCAAGAGGTAAAATAATTTTTTGTGTTCCTTTATATTTATTGTTAGGTTCTTACCAGGTCTAAATCAATTAAGTAAAAACATGTGCCTTAATTTCTGTGTAACAGAGCCTGCCTCGTCTGTCTTTGTGCTCATTGTTCTTTTACACCACATTTCTTTTCTTCACACTCCACCTTTTGCCACAACCACATTCTTGTTCTCATGCAGTGGCTGGTGATGTGCCATCAGAGTGTACCTGCCAAGGGCTGGAGATCTTCTGTGATGCTGCCAATTTACGAGCTGTCCCATCAGTCTCTTCAAACATAACCATAATGTAAGTAAAGAAGTAAAGTGGTCTCTTGCTCTGTTCAGGTTTGACTATCAGTTTTGAAATCTTTTCACAACTACCGCCTTATAATTATGATCAGTTGGCTCAGGAGGTGCTTGGAAAGCACCGTGTCTTCCTGCTGACAAGTACTTTAATGTATTAAGTAGAGATTTTCCCTACATAAAAGGAGAGAAAAGAAACTAAAAAACTCTGTGTGAAGTGATAATTTCATTTTTGTAAGAGTGATTTGAGCTAGCATGTGTTTGAGGAAATCTTAAGAAATCTACAGAAGAAATGTTTCCTTTAAAGACACAATGCTTAGAACCTTTTTATTATACTATGATCCTGCCAGTATTCCTAGTCCCTATTTCTGTCAATAGTCAGTAATTAAATCAGTGGAGCTACCTACTTGAGCAAATCTTTTTAGTTCTCAGTTTATGTGTCTGAATACGCTGTTATTTAAAAGGGTTTAATGTGGGTTGGGTCATCATGCAGATATGTATATATAAGCCAAACTCTTTTAAGAGATCAGATAATGGTTGATGTGCACTTGGTTTGCATATCACTATTTGAGAGGCAGTTTTATGTGTGGTGAGCAGAGTGCAGCATCAGGTGTCCTGAGCTGAGGATCTGCCTTGTGGAGCAAGGGTACAGATCCTTCCGAACAGTACCAGGCTGTGCTCACACGTGGCTGATGTTCTCCTTGTTGAGTTGGTTCAGCTGCCTTTCAGGCTAGATTCTCTTCTAATCCAACCACGCCCTGAAGGAATTTTGGTTTCGCCAGGACACTTGAGTATCCCCAGAGTAGACAGGGACATAGTGAAGTGGGAAATAAGCTCTATATGCATTTGATATTTGAAATAAATCTGTAGTCTTTAATTCTTAGATTTAACTATTTTATTGCCAGTTTTCTGGGGACATGGAAGATTTTCTTTATTATTATAAAGCATTTATCTTACTGTTTAAAGAGATACAAATATTCAGACAAACAGAAGTAGCATGTTCGGGTAGCTTCATGTTGCTTTCATTATTTAGCAGTGTGAGAGCTGCTCTTATTGAATAACAAAAGTAGCATCATTGTAGGAAGCTGGGACAGTAGTTTTACTGTGTGCATTCATTCCTACAGGTCTCTTCAGAGGAATCTGCTAAGAAAACTTTCTGCTGATGTTTTCAAGAAATATCAAAATCTTAAAAATCTGTAAGGAAGTGCTTAAACTTAAAATATCTATATAGTGCCTTAAACATTCATCTTCTCTTTCTCCCATATATACACACACAGAGAGCTTAAAAATTCTGGTTAATCTCACCCTTCAGTACATCATGTGTAGCCTGTTTGGCTCAAGTATCTTCATTTGACATCTGTCTTTTTTCAAAACCGTAATTTCTGCGTATTTAATGTTTTAATATTGACTGCTTTATACCAAAAAATGCTAAACTTTCGCAGTGTCTGAAGTAAGTTACATTTATAATGAACAGTATATGCAAAAGTAAATTAAAGTAAGTCAATCCGTTTATTCAAATTTTTATGGCAGAATAATACTGTGTAATATTTTACAATGCGTAACATTTATGTTGTTCAAAAGTCATAGACTTCAGTAATTTCTCTTGATCTAGAATTAGCGAAATTAATTAAATACAAAAGTCTAGAGCAGGGCTCCTGTGTCACCAGTTTAAAGCTCTCTTTTATGGGAACTGTGCTGTACTGCAGCACCACCTTGTGTTCTGAAAGTTAAGCATCATTATGAACTTATAGTCTTGAAAGGTACATTTTCATCATAAGAAACACAACACATCCATATCTATCTGTACAAAACATTTGCTTCTAATATTGACTTCACACCCTTCTGATATGAATGATTTACATTTTCCAAAAGGTCTTGAACAGTGTTTGACAGAAGCCCAATGTCAGATTTCTTCTTGCTTTAATAGGAACGCATCTGGATGCTTTATTAACTGTAATTTAATTAAAAGAACTTATATTTAAAGATTACTTAGAGAATAACAATATAATGCTTTAAAATTATTTGAAAATATTTTATATTTACAATATAATGCTTTAAAATTATTTGAAAATTATTTAATATTTGCAGCTGATATTATTTTCTACTCATTATTTCATCAAAGTAGCTTCATCAAGTAGTTAAATCAGAATTTTAAAAATTAGTATCTTTAGTTTACAGAAGATTAGTAAGATTTGCTTTACATTTTTATTATATTGTCTTAAAAATGCAGCAATTTTACAGGTCTCTGATATTACAAATGGAAAATTCAAAAATTGTTTTAAACTGACATTTTCTGTGCAAAATTTTGGTTGTAGCAGAGATCTGGCTAAACACAAAGATCAGGTCACACAGGTGAACACTTTAAGTTTAGGACCTAATCAAGGAGGTTGCAAACAACCACTTCATCGTTCATCTCAGGCAAAGCAAGCATCCCTTTGAATGAACTTTGTAATTCTGCTCTTTGTGTGTATTTCTTTAAAAACACCTTTGCAGTCTTTGCAGCTATAGCTGTGAAATGATTATTGTCAAATTCAAGGTGTAACAAGTTTGAAAGCTTATTTTAAAGTATAAAATGTACATTCAGTTTAGCTGATAGATTTTAATTACTTACTTGTGTTTGCTTTCACTTTGTTTAGAGAATTAATTGTTGGGTTTCTATCTTCTTAGGTATCTTCAGAATAATAAAATCAGAGCTGTATCTGAACGTGCTTTCAAAGGTTTATATAATTTGACAAAACTGTAAGTGTTGCTTTTAGATTATTGAAGTAAAAACCAGCAGTCAGAGCTCTGAGAGTCGCTATGGATGTCTCTCTCTATTTCATTCCATGTTATGAACCTGCAAAATGGTCCAAATCTTTAACTCAACATTTGAACTGAGAAAGCAAAGACAAATTAAGAATTATCTGTGAAGGACAGTTATTTGTGCAGGACACTTTGAAAATGCAAGTTGGCTCCATACTTCACTCCTATTCCTCATATCCTCAAAATGGAAGTGGGAGACAGTATGGTAGTTACCCTGCAGAAAGTCAAAGAGAATGAAAAAGAAGTAAAATGAAAGCGAGACCTTGTGATGGATGAACACTCTTTAATGATGTTATTTTGGTTTACAGAAGCAATTCAGAGTAACCAGTATAGGTAATGAAAGGAACACTTTTTCTTTATTTTGCAGCAGCTTTTTAAAAGGTGCTTCCAACTTCTAAGAGATGCTTTTAAGAGATGAGACAACTCATAAATTGCATTGCTTAAGATTTTTTCTGCAATATTTTTTAAAAAGAAAGGTTTTTTTAAATTGTATCTCTTATTTTTTTCCATCACATGAATGTAGTTGATTATCTGTTATTACAGCTGCTGTTATTATCTTCCCAGACCATTTACAGTACCCCTTCCCCTTCTTTTTCAGCCTTTCTTTTTCCATTATTCTGCATCTACATTTATGACTAATATCCTTATCAAAAGCTGAACAGGTCCTGGGAACATTCATGGAAAGAATCACTCCACAGAAGGAAACAGGGAAGGGCCTAAAATACGACAGTGAAAATAATTAGCTGGCTGTGCTTTCTTATAGATAAGACAAATAATGGCTCTTAAAGTCCTAACTAGAGAGAGTCTTGTGGTCAGACAATGGCATGAAAATTACCGTACTCAAAAATTAGAATTATGAAAAATGTAGCAGTTTTCTGATAAACTATCAAGGAAAAAATAACATTAAAACTCATTTTCATGCATCTACTGCTAACTAATAATTCCATTTATTGATCTTTGGTTGATCCTGTTTTAGATACCTGAGTAACAACAAGATAACTACTTTGGAGCCTTTCGTCTTTGCAGACCTCCACAGACTTGAATGGCTGTATGTTGCTTTCTTATTTGTATGTTTATTTATTCAATAAATAATTAGTTAAAGACAGAAATATTTAGACACCTTTCATTTTTGTGCATAGCAGTACTTTTTACTAGATAATAACTAAGGAAGTCTTGTTATATTGTGCAAGGTAAAAATGCACACATACAATAGTAAATAATGTCTATTAGCAATTTCTTGTTTCAAATTAATAAATTGAATAACTCAGATATCATAAAACAGTAGAAAGATAATTTTTTTACAGATCTTTTCCTGTGAATAATGCTTGAAATGTGCAGGCAAAATGAATGTCATAATCTGAAATATTGGCTTATTACTGCTTTTTGAACAGGTTTTGACTAAGAATAGTCATTAAAAATAAGCAAATATTATGTCTAACCTTCTTCCACATTTTTGGAACTGTTGGATCACCACAGAACACTACTGTGTTGTGCTGTTTTGTTTTCACAGAGAATCCACTCGAAGTATCTTGATCAAAGAATTTAAAAAACACAAAGGAACACACTTTTTCTAAGTTGAAAGAAATTCCTTTCTCAAAATTAATTTTTTTAATTGAATTTTTCTGAAACGAAATTAATTCAATTAATGCCTTAACCTTTTAAGGAATAGTGTGCTAATTTTTTTAAGTAGTGTGACTGAATATTTAACGAAATCAACTATAAAGTATTTTACTTTTTATTATCTGTTCAATTTAATACTCAAGTCAATTATCAATCTGATACATGCTTTGCTGTAATTTATAGGATAATTGAAAATAATAGGATAAATCGGATCTATCCATTAACATTTTATGGACTCAAATCACTTATTCTTCTGTAAGTATGAAATAAGATACAAAAGAGTTATTTGAAAGAGCATAATAGAAAGGGCACATACATTTAACAAGCTTTTTATAATGACTGTGTTTGCTCACCACAGAGTGCTGGCAGCCCACCTGCAGCTTTTTCTTACCCTGGGCAAAATGTGCTGGAGTAGGACATGCTGTGACTGGAAAAGACTAGGAGAAATGGGTGGATAAAATGGTAAAAGGCATCACTGAGAGGGCCAGGACGAGGCAGCTGCAGCAGATGTGCACTTCCAGTTATCCTCCAGAGCCATGGTGCAGGAGAAGGGTGTCCCATAGCCCCTGCCCCTTGCAGCAGCCCAGCCCCGAATCACTGTCTATGACCCACCGCTGTTCAACTGCACATTGTGGTGGCTTGTTATGTTTTATTGCAATAGCAGAGAAATTAATGTCTTTACCTACTAATTAACAAGTTAAGGATAAAATACTGCTCTATGGAATGCCACGGGGAAAACATCTAGAAGTTTAAGAAAATAGTACTATTTTGTCAAACCTATAAGAAATAAATCAAGATTTCATTTTTTTTCAAAAGCAAAAACAGAAGAGACATCAATTTTTTTCTATAATGTAACTTGGGGCCAAATATAACTAACTATACTATTCCTCTTTTTTTTCCAGAGAAATGATGAATAATTCTCTTGCTCGTTTGCCTGATAAACCTCTGTGCCAGTACATGCCGAGACTAAACTGGCTGTAAGTGTACCTTATTTTACTAGAATAATATTATTTTGTTATCTTTGTATGGCACCTCCACGACACTTCTTCTAATGGGGCACCGGATCTTGCTGAGTGCCTGCTGGGTCACTGCAGGGTTGATGACCTGAAGTCATCAATTAAGCGTGTAGAAGTATTACATGTATGGCTCCCACTTTCTTCTGTGCAGTCATGAAGTTCTGGTAGTATTTTTCTTTAATTATCTTAGAATAACTGCCTGGATTTATTTTCAATGATTAATGGGGTTTTCTTTATATTCTAGAGATCTTGAAGGGAACCATATCCATCATGTGAGAAATGCCACTTTCATCTCCTGCAGCACTTTAACTGTATTGTAAGTAATAGGATATGCTGGCTAGCCAGAGCGAGATATGCCTGTGCTGAGCAGTCAAGTGATTCATTACAGCTAATATAAAAGTTTCCTGAGTATCACAGTTATTTATCTCTTGAGGATATTAAATTAAAGTGTTTGGTTTGAAATTACCTCTACAGGGAATTAATCACTGTTTACATTTATAGCAAAGTTCAGCAGTGAAATGTGCAACTAAACTTTACTGATTTTGGCTGATACTAAGGTTTAGAAATTTTCATTATAACTTTTTTCTTGGAGGCAAAAATCTCATAATAAAAAGCAGAAAATGTACAAAATGCATGGCTTTTTGCTTCATTTTAAAGAGTCTGATTGGCTGGTAGGTTGGCTGGCTCATCAGTTCTAGAATTTTCCTCAAAGTTTCTTCAGTGACGATGTAACCATACTCAGACAATCCCCTTCCACTTTTTGAGAGATTAGTAGTCTCCATGGTATCTATCACTTTCAATTTTTGCCTCTTGTGCAGAACCCATGTTCTTGGATTCCTCCTTCTTTTTAAAATCCTGGTTGTTCATTTAAGGGGCAAGTTCAGCGGCAGACGAAATAAGAGTGAATGAAAAATTGCATAACCATGTGCCTGTGTCTGAGATGCGATTAGGTCACAATCCTTCCAGTCCATTCAGTGTTCCCCCTGACCTCAGTCAATTTACACCAGCTTCCCATGGGTGTGTATGTATGTATGTGTATACATATGCAGAAGTACGTGCATTTATAGGATGTATAGGCAAAAAGAGTTACTTACCAAATGATAAAATGGCAAGCTTCTAGATGAAATTAGCTTGTTAACTGAATTGGGCAAATTCAAATTGAAGATGCAGAAAAGAGAAAATTTTTAAAGTTTATAAAACCTCTTCTCCTAAACCAAATAGATATCAAGAAGGAGCAATGTAAGTTTGTTTTATTCTTTCAGGGTGATGAGACGAAACAAAATCAGCTCTCTAAATGAAAACAGCTTTTCTTCTCTCCAGATGTTAGATGAATTGTGAGTAGATTTCTTTTCTTATTTGTACAAGTCACAAAGTTTTGTAATTTATATTGAAAAGTACCATTCATCATATATTTTATTTCATATAACATGCTCTGGAGATGTCATCCTTCCTTATGTTTCCTTAATATGCATTGAAAAGGAAGAAATAGTCAACAAAATGCATAGTCTGTACCAATAATATTGAAGCTTTTGCTCATAAGATCATTATGTTCCCTGGACAGAGTAAAATTCATGTTGCATCACCCCAGTCTAGTGCATGTGTACCTCCAGTGTCTTTTAGACCAGTTTGCCAGCTTCAGTTGGACTGAGATCCTTAATCCTCTGTTATTGGGATTTAAGTTTGGTAAAAATTAGGTGAAATAGAGACAAAAACTAAGGTACAGATGTGCTGTTTAGCCCATGTGAAAGAAATCCCATCATGAAACAATATGTTTAGTTAATTTAAAAATTAAAGGTATTTTGCTTTCTTTTTGACAGAAACAAAATAACCATAAGTTGTATATCTAATGGTACATCTGGACTAATAAGACAGAGAGAGATCTGATGGATCTAGCTTCCCACCTTGTTTTAATAGCATTCTTTTTTTTAGTCCAAGTTCAGAATAAATAATATCCTTTTAGCAGATAAAATAGAATTGCGTATATTGAAACCACAAAACCGTTTAGTAAAAGTATTGAACCTAGTAAGAGTTTACTGTATCCTTCCTGTTTCTGCAGAGATTTGGCTAGCAACAAGATTGAATCACTTCCTCCATATATATTTAAGGATCTAAAGGAGCTTTCACAACTGTAAGGATTCTTGGTTGTTATTTTATATAACTGTATATTTCTCATTTGGTATGATACTTTTAGTCATGTGTCCTAGGAAAGAGAAGAGCACATTTGTTTGTATGCATCATTTAAGCTCTGTCTAAAATACACTTATCCCAAAAGTAATTCTATATAACTTTTTGTCCAGAATAGATGCACATTAGATGTGCATAGATGTAAAAGATGTGCATTTTCACGTACCAAAAGATAGCAAGTTCTAATCCTACCTTTTTCTAGATCTTATTAGTATATATAAAATTATCTATGCTAGCTATACCATAAGAAAATAATAATTTTATTGGAATATTTAGTGTAATAGCAAGATTTTCCTCAAAAATAGATCATAAACACATAAGAGAATCATAAAGATGCCTTGATTGCAACTGCTTTGTTGTCATGAAAGAATTCCAAAAAAACCCCATAAGTTATTATAAAACCAGAAAGACAGTTTCTGTTTTTCCTATGACACGTATATAGGCAAATTCTCAGATGCCTCTGCTGGAAAGTCCCAATCTTTCTTGTATAATCTGAAAGAGGCACTAGTCACAACACTGAAGATCTCTGGCGAAGAGGAAGTAGTACTCACAAATAAGAAGTATCACTTATTTCTGGGATTTTCCAGCATCCCTGGGATCCATCACAGTACACTGGGGCAATCAGGTGTGTCCAGTTGCATTTATTGAGTTTGCACATTTTAATCACAATATTAAGATGAAAACATAAAGAAAAGTTATAGGGAGAAGTAAAAGAGGATGTACCTAGGAACATTCTTGCACAAAGTGACAGTGTATAATGTTAATGTCTATTTTTGCATTCTCTCCCTGTCTCTTGAACTCACATGCAAAATCAATTGTAATTTATTTCTAAATGTATGCAGTTGAGATAGGTTCTTTTACCTGAAAGACAAGTCTGTAAAGTTTAGTCAAAACCTTTAAGCATCAGGCTGGGGAAGGAAGTTATGTGTGTGTATGTGTGTACATGGCAATAGCATGCTTGTGAAGCATCTGACTACTTTTTCCACTGGCTGAGGAACCTAAATTATGCTAAATGATTCTTATCATTTACAGTCGCAACTGCCAAGGGTACAAGTCCTTCTTACAGGACTAGAAAAACAAGTGGGTTATGTAGTTTCACTTTATTTTTAGAACAAGCAGTAAGGAAGATAGCCAAAGTTACTTATGTTGTATTTACAGGAACCTTTCTTACAACCCTATCAAGAAAGTACAAATAGACCAGTTTGATTTTCTAATTAAACTCAAATCTCTGTAAGTATCAAGTCTTTATGTTTTAGCTATATTTTCTTTGTGGTTATGAACATCCTTTGGAGGGCCTTAATCTAGAATATGTTTTGTAAGAAATTGCCCTTAATGTATTTTCTGGTTATGTTTATGATCCTCAATAATTTAAGCCTGGAAAACTACTAGCAATATTAAAGTTTTTCTTCCTGAAAATACCACTTTCATAATGGAAATTTTTCCAGCAAAAAGAGACCATAAATTCAGCTTAGAGAATAACATTGTCTTTTCAGCTATTACAGAACAGGAGTCACACAACCCTCATTTGACATTGTACAATTTGTTCCCGGGGCTTAAGGATCATGTAAGGTCCAGTTGGGACTATTAACACTATGGGCTGGTACTGTTAAGATATGTAAAGATTGGAATTATAAAGGAATTTCACATGTGTGAAAGTTGGGGGACACATTTCCATTTTTACAGAATCTACTGCTAACACCATGAGAAGAACAGTGGTTAAGTATGATTCAGCTTACATGTCAGAGAAAGTTGAGACTTATCCAAATTTCATGGCTGAGAGCACTAAGAGTTTTCTTCATGATTCTGGGAAAACAGGGGGGTTATTAGAATTAACTGCAATTTATTTTATTCCTCTTGAGATTTTATGTGGACTTTCTGGCCAAGTTTCCAAGGGCTGACAGATTAGATGAAATTAAAGTTCACCTCTAGTTTCCTATAATCATAATTTAATCATAATTAAATGCTCATAAGGTTTATTCTTTTATTACTGATTTTCTATGGCCTTTTAATGAGAATATATTTTTTACAGCAGTTTGGAGGGCATTGAAATTGCAAACATCCAGAGAAGAATGTTCAGACCCCTGAGAAACCTTTCCCACATGTAAGCAGATTATTCTAATTTGCTTTCCTTGGTCTGAATTTTACAATCAAAGAATACTGGATAATTGAAAGCAGGTATATGAAAAGCAGCATGTATGGAAAGCAGCATGTGAGCAGTTGTCACATTTTGACAGATTTTGATTAATTTTTCTTCTTTCAGAATATATTTTCTGAGTAGTTACTAGAGGGTTTTCTGATAACCAAACTAGAACCATCTCTTATCTGTTTCTCACAACCAGATATTTTAAGAAATTCCAGTACTGTGGATATGCCCCTCATGTGCGCAGCTGTAAGCCCAACACTGATGGGATTTCCTCCCTCGAGAATCTTTTAGCTAGCATCATACAGAGAGTGTTTGTCTGGGTTGTATCTGCCATCACCTGCTTTGGAAATATTTTTGTTATCTGCATGAGACCTTACATCAGATCAGAGAATAAGCTGCACGCCATCTCAATAATGTCTCTTTGCTGTGAGTACCCCATGCATAAAAGAATATCTTTTCAGTCTGCTCATAGTATGTGTGATATTTGTTATTATAATCTAGTGACATATTTCCAGCACTGAATTAACTGTACTTTCATGCTGTTGCAAGTGAAAATACAAAATGCTGTACTTTATATACCAGGAGGTCTTGTTAAATGCTGCCTTTGGCAGCTGATATATTCCATAGCTTTCATGTTTGGTTTTCATGCTGCGGGTATTCTCTCAAATTTCCACTTCCTTCAGCATGAAGAAATAGATTTCCAGTGTTGTCAAAGTTCCATAAATCTATATTTTACTATGCATTTCTGACTAACAATTTCTGCATGTAAATATTAAGATAGTCTATTTTTTGCATGAGCAAAAGGCTACTTATGCAAACAGAGAAAATTAATCTCTCCCAGATCACCAATATTAGGAATTCTTTTTTTAATTTACTTCTAAAAGCAAGACAAGTTTATAGATGAATTATTTGGCAGTACAGTCACTACAGTCTTGAGTACCCTGTCTCTATACAGGAGAGTCTGTAAGTATTTCACAAATGCAATTAGATGCATTTTGAAAGGTAGTTATCAAATGTCAACAAATGATTGCAACATTTCTAAATGTCAGTGATTTTGAAACTTTGTTGTTTCCATAGGAACAATCTGAATACTATGCAAAATTTTTAGGCAAAATATCTAAGAAGTCTTCATTTCTGTGTTGACAGGTCATCTTCTCTTAATAGGGTTAGAAAACTACCCACATGAGTTTTGAATTAGCATAAGATGGACAAAACTAATCTTTGAATCCAGCAGAGATGGCATATTCAAAGAGAATAATCTTAAGCCAAATGTTAATATCTAAAGAAGTAAGACCTAATAAAAAAGGGTTGTAAGAATATTTCTGAAAATGAAGCCATATCTTTTTCTACTTGCAAACCAATTTTACCTGAGCTTTAAAAAAACAGGCTGGAAACAAGTATGAAACACAGACTGTCAGTCCAAATGAAAACCAAAAAAAAAAAAGTTTAAGAAATAGATTAAATTAATTAAAATTAATTATACTGCCTTAATTGTAATTCATAATAGCATTCCAAGTGTAATGTGGATTGTTATATCTATTAGCTGATTTGTAAATATGTACTTGTATATATACACTTATCACTGTTATCACTTGTATATATATATGTGCGAATGTCTGTTTTCCAATATACATATACAGAGAGAATGGGAAATTCAGATGTGTAAATAATGATGTTAAGCACTGTGCCCACAGGTGCTGACTGTCTGATGGGAATATATTTATTTGTGATTGGAGCTTTTGATCTTAAATATCGTGGAGAATACAACAAGCACGCTCAGTTGTGGATGGACAGTATTCACTGTCAATTGGTTGGATCGCTGGCTATTCTGTCTACAGAGGTGTCAGTCTTACTGTTGACATATCTGACTTTGGAAAAATACATCTGCATAGTTTATCCTTTTAGGTGTTTGAAGCCCAGAAAATGCAGGACAATTTCCATTTTGGTTCTTATCTGGATTATTGGGTTTGCTGTTGCTTTTATCCCACTGAGCAATAAGGAATTTTTCAGGAACTACTATGGCACCAATGGCGTCTGTTTTCCTCTTCACTCAGAACAATCAGAAAGTTCAGGAAGTCAGATTTATTCTGTTGTCATTTTCTTAGGTAAGTTGCATTTCTTCTTTATATATGATTAGAGCTGCTATTGAACCCAGTTTTCAAACAAATAAGATAGCTGTGATGTTCACACCTCCTTGGATTTAGATGTTCAGCAAGAACTTAAGGGTTATTTTACTGTATTAGATGGAGTATTAGGTTTACTGTATTAGATAATAAAATGCATGAAGGGATGGAAAAATAGAAAGAAATGATTGACCATGAAGTTCCTGAATTAATAGATTTTTTTAGGGAAGTAGAGTAATAGCAAGACCAGGGGAGAACCATGTAGGTTGGATCAGAAATAAATACCTGAGTGGAGGCAAAAATTCAGTCTTGAGGTGAGGACTCAAATTTTCTGGCCACCTCATTCTGTGGGACTAGAGTTTAGACAAAATATTTTCCTTTGCTACCTAGATTGCAAATAGGCGATGTAGAATTGCCATTATGTTGTTAAATTATAACTAATTTTAACTTTTAAACAGGTGTAAACTTGGCAGCTTTTATCATCATTGTGTTTTCCTATGGGAGTATGTTCTACAGTGTTCACCAAACAGCTATTATGGCTACTGAAATTCGGAATCATATTAAAAAAGAGATGATCCTTGCTAAACGCTTTTTCTTCATTGTATTTACTGATGCACTATGTTGGATACCTATTTTTATTTTGAAGCTCCTTTCTTTACTTCAAGTAGAAATACCAGGTATGTAATTTCTTTTGTGAGGCTGTTTCAACCGTGCCTGTGTGAAATGTTGTTTCTACTTCAGAAGAATTTGATAAAATGAACTATATTACTCTTAACTTCATGTTTCATATCAACAAATATGTACACAGAATCTAATGGACTATATAGCTTTACTATTTAATTGTACTATATTACTATAATCATGAAAGATTAACCACCTATGAGTCAGATAAAAAATTTCAAAATTCAAATCATTCAAGTCTCTCTCTACATATAATATCTATAAAATGTACAAAATGTATTTGAAAACCAGGCTGAGTTGTAGTGACTTTGCTCATTTTATGACTTTTGCTGGTTCTGTTGCCTAAATATGTCTCAGGACATTATAGTGTTTTCTACCTTGATTTAACTATGTAACTCTTACTTTGAAATAACTTTATTTTACAAAGTGGTAATTATAGTTCAGAACATAAGGTTCTATAAAGCTCTGCCTACCTTCTTCATGCTGTGAATATATTCCCACTTAAAAACAGTATAACCTAAAAGATTAAAAATTGCATCTTACTTTTTCCTTCTCTTTGCAATAACAGTACATGCCAGAAAAGCAGCCTCTTTGTGTGGGGTTTGTAAACCCTGTTAGAAAGAACATGTGAGCATGTTCATGTGAGCAATCAGCAACAGCGGATTCAGACTCAATGTACAGATGTATGTCACAATATTATGTTGGCAGGAAAGCGTTGTAGCCCAGAGGATTTTGCCATATGTGCTGACTAGGAAGGTTGGGAGCTGCCTTTTCGAAGTCTTGACTTCTGTTTCAAATAATTGGAAATTATGCTGATTATGTCAAATATTCAGTTATTTAAAATATTCTAGAATGCTTCTTTGTGAAGGTATCAAACCACCTAAGATATCTGAAAGAAAATATTGTGAAAAGTAGAAGCAGATGTATTCTGTGTCAAGAAACCTTGAAGAAATCTTGATGAATCACAGAGTGATCTTTGGTTCAGTAAATGAAGTTCTGCATTAGATAAACCAAATTAAAGAGTAATTACTCATGTCATAAAATTAAAGACATCACAGCTAGCTGAGTTCACAGAAGTTTTAAACTCTGTTTGATAGCATTTGTTTTACTCTGGGGATACACTGTGACAGCTTTAGCACCTGCTGTTTTCCAAAACTGTAGCCAGGTAGGCAGGGACAGGAATGTATTGATATTGCAACAAAGTTATAAAACTGGAGACGGGGATGGAGAGAGGTGTCACAGAGAGAGAGTGACTTAATTTTTTTGTGCTTCTTGGAACAGTTCTATAATAGTTTTATAAATCAAACAATGCAACGGAGGGCACTCACTAACAATTTTTAGCACTTTAATCCTGTCTCTTCTCTGCCTGTTCCTTGGGTAACTTATCTCCCAAACAGTAAGGATGAGAAGGGGATATTGTAAAAATGCAGACTGACATAGGCAGAGGGTGTGAACATAGAAACTCTTGCCAACACGAAAAGAAGAAAAGGCGGATTTATACAGTGCCCTTTGCAGGGGAAGGAAAGTAGTAGTCCTGGTGCAGAAGAGAAAACCAGTCTCTGAGGGAATACAGGGACTGGATGATACTGTTTTGCAGAAGGATAGGACATCAGGGACCTCATTAAGACTGCATGCCACTAATCATGGGAAGAGGATGGAGAACAGAGATCACAGGAAGAGATAGGGAACAAAGCAGAGACAAAAAGTTTTGGGGCAAGAAAATGGGCTCAGCCAGAACAAGTCTGCCAGGGCAAAAACGGAGCTATGGCACAGAAAAGTGAGATAAATAGATAAATAGAAATATTGGGAGAATAAAAAAAAGTCAGGTTTTGCAGGGAGTCCTGGAAACAGAGGGAGGTAAGAGGGCAGTGAGAAGAAAAAGAAAAGTACCTGTTTTGACAGGAGCTCACCCTAGGAGCATGACCACCCCTCTCACCAGTTAGCTGTGCTGCAGAGGTATCAAGTGCTTGTGTTAATTAATGGGTACAAACTCTGGAATGCTTTTTACAGCTGCCTTTCTTTTTCCCTCCCTAAGGTACCATAACTTCTTGGGTGGTGATTTTTATACTGCCAATAAATAGTGCTTTGAATCCTCTTCTCTACACTTTGACTACACGACCTTTCAAAGAAATGATTCATCAGGTTTGGTACAACTACAGACAAAGAAGATCCAAAAGAGGTAAAGGCAGCCAGAAAACATATGGTCCATCATTCATTTGGGTAGAGATGTGGCCAATGCATGAAATCACGCCAAAGGTTACGAAGCCTGTGCTTTGTACAGACTCCTCCGATGCTTCAGTGACTACACAGTCAACAAGACTAAATTCATACACGTAAACACATTTTGAATCCTCATGGTGACATCGGCACTGTTAGCTTCATGTCCGTGGGCTTACTCCTTTACAGCAATGAGGAAAAATGAGGGAGGTGTGACACCTGGGCTCACGTGAACCACTGCGGGAAGAAGAGGGAGCAATATGTCTGGGTGTAGGTAGAACTCACACAACAATAATTTTACCATCTCACAGCAGTACCTGACGTTTTGACAATTCATCCTAGATCAGAATGAGAAATAGTTGTTCAGGAATTTTTCCTTCTAGAAGCCAGGAGTGTGGAAAAAAATTAATTTTCATTTGAAACATCTAACTCTGAAAGCAGATTGTTTCAAAATCATCTGTTTATGGGGAAGTGAGTGGGGGGAAAAGTTATTCTATTTCTATTTTTTTAATCCCCCAGCTGAATTTTTTTAAGAAATTAAGAAATGTGTTTTCACTTCAGAATTGTTGTTGTCTCTATTTAGGCTGCATTAGCTCTTAAAAAGCTTTAGGGAGCAATAGGTTTACGAAAAATATTTCAGTTTCCTAACTGGTCAGACCAAAACAATTGAAAATTGTATTCTTTCTATAATTTTACCAGCTATTTCACTCATGTAAGGACAATTCTGAAGTTGTAATGATAGTTCTAATATAGTTGCCAGGCTGGACAAGACCTTGAGTAACCTGGTCTAGTGGGAGGCGTCCCTGCCCAGGGCAGGGAGTGGTTGGGACTAGATGATCTTTATGATTCTACATCAGGTAGAACCAGAACTGTGGCAAAGAAAAAAATTTAGGGTTTTTTCCCAAGTGAGTGTCCCCCAGCTATAGCTGGTGGAAGTTTCTATCTTCAGACGAGTATCTTTTCCTGGAAAGACTGGACTGAGTATCCCAGCATCTTGATGCTGCTCTTTTCCTCACTTTTCTTAATGGGCTACCATAAGTAGCTCACCACAGCTTGCAGACTTCAACAAACACCTGTCTTAAGATGTCTCTCTGTACGTGGGAGACAACCAATTAGAAAACTATTAGTCTTAACGGGTGTCATGACATCTACATTTTAATCACCTTGTGCATCTGACTGAATGCATTATAGTTAAAACTTCAAGACCACAGCCATTCAGCTGTTTTTGGAGCATTATTTTTTCCCAGAATTACAAGGGTCAAAAGAACCCAAAAAAAAAACCCTTATCCCACCTGAAACAGTCCCCTAGAGACAGTTCCTTCACATATTCTTACTGAAGAGAATATTTTCCATTATGAATTATTACAACTTCCCTTCTTCTTTCAGTACCGTACTCAGTCTGATGGCCTAGAAGCCCACAAAGGTAAAAGAAATGCTTTTTTTGCATTGATGATTTAAAACTATTTAAAACTAAGTTAAAAGCTACTTCCAATGTTTGCACTTAACTTCTTAACAGTATAAGAAGTAGAATTTTGAAAAAGTGTGACTCACACTTCAACTGTTTACAGAACTTTGGATTATCTTGAAATTGAAGATTGTTAAACATCTTGCTTCCACTACTGTATGTTTTATTGAAATAAAATATTATCTGCTGAACAAAATGACTTCTTTTCCAAGCTGTTTAACAACATTTTGGGTTCTGGGGTTAGAAACAGCTAAGTGAAATCCTGCCACATGGATTGCCTTTAATCAGGGCAATTATAACTCAATTTAACAAAACTTTCACAACTCTGAGGGGCCAAGCCCTCTCAAGGACTGTAACTGCCTTTCATGAGACATGCAAGGATTCCTGTCCTTACCACTACTTGTTTTTCACTTAACTTTATTATGGTTATAGTCAATGTCATCTTTGTTTCTATCAGTAACAGAAGAATAGTCAATACTTCAGAATTTTTGTAACATTTTTATTATTTTGATAAGTAAACTACAGTTGGTCTTTCTAAGACTCCTACCAGTAAAAATAAAGCCAACTAATAAATCGTGGTAGAGTTATGTTATCCTGCAGCCTGCCCTTGTACTTCAGCGTTACTTTTTTTCACAGTGCCCCGCGTGGCACAGGAGTTTCAGTTACCGATTAGTGTTCTTTCAGACCAAAAGGTTCTGATAACAGTAAGGTCTAGGCTAACAAACTGCTTAAGGCAAAGATAAAAAAATAGGACCAAATACTGAAAAAGCTCTGAGGTGCTTCCTGAGCGATGGGAGAATACATGTTGCAGATTCTTTTCTAACTGATGGAAGCTTTTCCTTACAGTTCAAAGCAATCCATCCTGTCAGTAAACAATGCTGTCAAACTTCTACCATGCAGAGATATACGGTCCATCATAAGGCACTTTATTACAGTAAAAGATAATGTAAAATAGTTTGCAACAGTAAAACTTCTTGCAAAAAATCTGCAGCTTGATAGACAGACATCACAATATTGCTAAAAATAGTGAGGTCTGGGATACAAGATTTTTCTAAAGCTCATAAATAAGCCACAGCTTGCCACATTATTTGTTCCTCAACATGAAGAAAAAGTGTGCATAGAAAAAAAAAACTGAAGTGAGTTCAAGTTTCTCTGAAGTTGGCAGGGTTACTGCTGGTGACAGCTCCTAAAAAGGAGGGCTGATAATACTTCCTTACAGGAGATCACTTCCCCACAAGTAATGAGTTCTGAATGTACCTTTGCATCTACCACGTTAGCACAGGGAAGAAAAAAAAAAAAAAAAAAAAGGCGGGAGAGTATGAGATCGCTTAACTTGCAACGAGGAGTCTAGAAGTGAAAACTTATTCCCTAAACAAAGTTTTCTTTATATACAACATCCACACGAGTCACCAAGTATTTCTGAAAAAAATCCGGGCTTACGGGGAGCCCGCTGAGGGACAACAAAACTCCGCGTGAATTCCCTAAAGAAGGCGTTTTAAAAGAACCCCCGCTGCAGTCCGATACGGGCGGGCGGCTCGGAGTGACCCGGTGGGGTTCGGTCATCCTCAGCCTCAGCCTCAGCCTCAGCCTCAGCCTCACCCGCTGGGCTTCAGGGACTCGTACCCCTCCCGCAGCAGGTCCCGCCACGTCCTGAGGAACCGGGCGTTCTCCGAGCACTTGGTGGCCAGCTCCTCCACCTGGGCCGACACGGCCGACGTCGCCTCCAGGATCTTCGCCAGCGAGAAGGCGGCCTGGAGAAGGGCAGAGAGGTTGGGGGTCGCCGGCGCCCGGCAACCTCTCCCCCCCGCCCAGGGGCACCCCCGGTGCCCTCCCCAGGGGACCCTCGCCGGCACTCACGTCTCCGATCTGCAGCTCCACCTCCTCCAGCAGCTCACGCGTGTCGCCGCCGGGCAGCTCCGGCGGCACCGACCCCTGGCTCCCACCGCGGACCCTCTGGGGCTCGGCGCCGGGCGCTCCCTCAGCCATGTCCCGCTCTCCGCTCCAGCGACTCCCGCTCCGCGCCGGCCGCGCTTCCCGCCCAAGCACCGCCCCCGGCGCTGCCGCTCCCTGCGAGCTCCTCCCGCGCCAATGCCCGGGAAACGGATCGCTCCGCCCCGGCTGCCCGAGAGCGCCCTCGGAGCTCTGGGAGCCGTAGTCCCGCGGCGGGAGGGGGCGGGACCGCGGCCGAGCGCGCAGGCGCGGCGGGGCCGAGGCCGGCGCGGGGTGCGCGCAGGGCGGTCGCGGGAGGCGCAGGGAGCGGGGGGTCCGCCGCGATGCCGCTCTATCGCTGCCCGTCCGCCGGCCGAGGTAACGCGCCGGGCCGCGCCGGGGCCGGCGGGGCGCCCCGGGGGCCGGGGCTGGAGCTGGGGCGGCCGTCCGGCGGGGCGGGTGGGGCCGGCGGCTGGCGCGGCGCCGAGGAGAGCAAAGGTCGCGGCTGGGTCGCGCCCGGCTGTCCGGGCGGACGCGGGGCTGGAGCGGGGCCGGTGGGCGCGGAGCCCCCGCGGCTCCCTCTGCCCGGGGCTTCTGTCCGTCCGCAGGCGCTGCCGGGGCGGGAGGAGAGGGCAGGGCTGCGCGGGAGTGACGTGTTTTATTTAACTGCAGCGCGGTGTGCGTGAAGCCATCTGCGGGTTTCTTTTTGGTTTTTTTTTTTTTTTTTTTTGAGCGTTGGGCTGGGTGTTTGCCTGTTCTGAAGGGTAAAGTAAAGCAGTGGAACGCATGCCCTACTGAGGAAGGGGTTGTGGGAACGGCATCCCGGCAGGTGCCATTAAAGAGCTGCGGAAGAGCAGTTTTTCCTCGGGGATCGCTTGGCTCCTGCAGGCATTTCCCATCACGTTCTAAAGCCTGGAGCTCCCAGTAAGCGCTGTGGCACAGGCTCAGGTCGCTCCCGGGGGGAAGAATCTGCCCGTCCACACCTTTGAGCCCACCTTTGTAATTATCAGGCATGTTCTGAGCCGGGTGTCACTTCTTTTGCGTATGTGTGGAATAAGTGAGTTTTTTTTTTAATATATTATGTGATTCTTAGTACTATCAGTTCTGCTCAAATAAAAATATCTCAAAAGTTAAGTTAAAGTTTCATGGTTTAGTGTATATGTGTAGGTGTGGTTTTATATCATGCCTATTCCTAGTTTTGGCGAAAGCATACTTCGGTTTAAGTCTGTGCTTTTATTGTAGAGCATGACATTTACTTTAGATTAACTGTGTTGTACTAGTAGCCCAAACTGTGTGTCTCAACACGTGTTGAGATGTCAGAAGAGCTGAACGTTCATGTCCTGTCTCTCAGTTGCTTGGTCACTTTTGATGAAGTCTGAAAGAAATCTTTTGAAGTTCAAATATAAATAGGAAGTTAAAATGTGTTTCACCTTTGTACATGCATGTTATCCTGTATCAGCTGTGTATGGCTGGCGAGTGTATTGATTGATACTATGTGAAGAATGCTTAAAGGGGAAGCTCTTTAATTATTTTTTTCCCTGATATAAAATTATACAGCATACTGCTAACTTGAAAATTAAAAAATCCATGTTTATTGTTCCTCATCTTTGCATCACCTGGTAGCCTTTGGGAAGGGGAAGCTGTCATATTTGTTGTACCACTTGCATCCCTGAAAATTTTAAACACTTGGAAAAAATGATTTGACAAATTTGTTCCTTGTTTTTGCAGCGCGTCAGTGCTTTCGTGCTCTTAAGCTGATAAAGAAAGACTGCCTTCCATCACTGCGTGTCTCAAGATGTGCATCTACTGCCTCTGTGCCTCGCATAACTACACACTACACAATTCATCCTCGGGACAAAGACAAACGATGGGAAGGTAAGTGAGAAATTGCATTCTTTAAAGCTTATTTATTATTATTATTATTATTGCTCACTTTTAAAGGCACTGAAATATGTTGCTGTGGTTTTTTTCTTTTTGTGGAAATTCTGTTCTGTTAAATACAGCACTGATATTTCAAATGAAATTTTTGGTTGCTATCTCAAAATTGGTGTCTTTAGTGCTATAAAATAGGATCAGATTTAACTTTATGCTTGTTTCCATAAAATGTACGAGCAGCTTTTAGTTTAGTGATTACCAGAAGATTTAATTCTGTTCAGTATGTATCTGCTAGGGTTTTTTTCCATTGTTCATACCATGAGAGTTTAAGTTTAGTGAGAGAGAGGTTGGAAGTGGTTGGAGATTGGTATATGTTATTACAATTTTTTTTCTATTGAAGGGGTAAACATGGAAAGATTTGCAGAGGAAGCTGATGTTGTCATTGTTGGAGGAGGCCCTGCAGGCCTTTCTGCAGCTATTCGACTCAAACAGTTGGCTGCTGAGCATAGCAAAGAAATTCGTGTTTGTCTGGTGGAAAAGGCTTCTCAGATTGGTGCCCATACGTTGTCTGGTGCCTGTCTTGAGCCAAGGTCCTTAGAAGAACTCTTTCCAGACTGGAAGGAGCGAGGGGTATGTATGAGCACATAAGCACTGAAATTAATTACTGCCTTGTAACGAATTTCATACCTGACTCATTCTGGTATGACTTAGTACCTGGTACCATTAGTAATTAGTACCATTATGAAATACATTGATCTAACAAAAAAAAAAAAAACCCTGCTGTCTTCATTTTAGTGTGTTTCCCATAGTTGGACAATGCTAGAAGTTTTGTGTCTATACAGATGTGCTGTGGCTTTTGCTCTTTTCTCTAGCAGTCTTACTGCATATGTACAATATGCCTGGTGCAACTTAGGGTGACCTGCACTTTCTGCCTTTGTGCAGAGTGCAGCTCCTGTGCCCAAGCAGGAAGGTGTTCGGTTCTTACCAATGACAGAGTTGTTGCTTCTGTACAATAGTTCTTCATGGAAATGGCACACAGTGCACTCACTTCTGTGCAGACACTGTGGTGTAACAAAGGCCTAAGATGATTTTAGGAAGGAGGATGGCAGAAAATAAGCTATCCTCTCTAGCAGAACAACCATCTGACTTGCAGCCAGTTGCCTGCTATGACGTGGGAGCTGCAAGAAGTTAGACTAGTTGTCTAGTTGTTTTACCTTATTGTGGTAAATGTGCAAGTTGAGCTGTCTTCTGTAGAGAGGTCTAGAATATTGAGTGTTGATTCTTGCCTGATGACTGCCTCATTAAATACTTTGTCTTCTCTCTTGTGGTACCTTCCTACAGAAGTGGTGTACTTAACCTGTACTTGACTGCCAGTTCGATTGTTTGATTTTGTTTGTTGTTGTTTTTGTTGAATTGCTAGAAAAACATAATTCTCTCTGTATTTCATTTGATTGTAGGCTCCACTTAAAACTCCTGTAACTGAAGACAAGTTTGGAATTTTAACAGAGACATCTAGAATTCCGGTGCCAATTCTTCCAGGTAAAGTTTCACGAGGGAATAGAGAGTCAGTTTTCTCTGTGTGTTTTTCAACTTTTGCATGAATCAAACAAGTTTGATTCAGTGTAATAGAGAGAGCATATGTAGAATGTAATAGCTTACAGGTACACAGTCTATGTGTATGATGACTGTGATGACACATGACATTACTTTGAAGATAGTAGCTGTAGAAGATGTGACATCTGACGTGTACAGCATCAGTTATTTTGTCTAGTGTCTTATGTTTTATGTGTGTGTGTCTTTTTTTGCCTAGGACTTCCGATGGTTAATCATGGAAATTACATAGTACGTCTGGGCCACTTTGTGAGTTGGCTAGGTGAACAAGCAGAAGCTTTGGGTGTTGAGATATATCCAGGCTATGCAGCAGCTGAGGTACTCATGACATCAGTGTGTGTATATGAAAAGTGGCTTTGAAACACCCTTCAGAGCAATCACAATCATTTGTACATGCACAATATTCCTTTAAACAGATATGGATTGTGAAAACCCTGTTTCAGTGTCTAAATTCCCTGGTTCAGATCCAGCAAAGTGCAAGTGGATCATACAGCATGTGAATAAATAACATAATCTTCATGTTTGACCATTAAAGTCATAGTGCTTAGAAGTTCTGAATTAGAACTTTTAATGAATGGATTAAAATGACAGATCATTAAAATGGTTTTTGTTTGTTTAAATATTTCCAAAGGTTCTTTTCCATGAAGATGGTAGCGTGAAAGGGATAGCAACTAATGATGTAGGCATTCAGAAGGATGGAGCACCTAAAGTGAGTATCTATCTTCCTTCCTATTATACCTAGGAGTTTAATTATGGAAATTTTGATAGATCTGCTTCTACTGCCGTCAGTAGTCTTGCTTCAGCATAAGAAAAAGTGTGAAACTCAGTACCTGTCTTCTCTCTCTGTATTTAACTGGATCAATTACCAGTGGAAGTTCTGAAATTAGTAGAAAAAGCTTCTGAAATTAGTAGAAAAAGCTTTGGCAGAAAGGGTGACTTGAAGGAAATATTGTAAGGATGTTTTGGCATATGTGAAATCAGGAATCAAAAGGAAAGAATTTCAGGAACTCCTAGAAAAAAGGTGCAAAGGTGAAATAGAAAGCTGTAGTCCAGCTGGTGACTAGCAATGTGTAAGAGAGTGTGCTTCTGGCTGACTTGGTTTCTTTGATATTTACAACTGCAGTCACATTTGTTGACAGTCTGTCTACCTTCTTAGGGCAAGGTGCACATTGAATCTTTATACCTTTTTGCTGGTTCATGTTTCTGCATCCAGAAGGTATCAAGTATCAGACTCCCTGCCTAAGTATCAGATTTGGACTGGGTTTTTTTAAAATTTTTTTAATGGAATCCAGGACCTGCCCGAAGTGTGTTGCTTCCCTGTGTAATATGTAGGGAGAATTTGTCACATCAGAATAACTCAGAACAACTCTCACGCAAAATTATTTGACTGCAGAAATTAGGGGTACAAGTTTTTTCTTAAGATTTACCTTCTTTTACAAGGTTTCTTTCTACTTACACGAGTTTCAAAGAGGTATCCGCATTCACATGAAGTGTGGGCTATTTTTCCCATTTAAGTCAGAGAATGAGAAGAAAAGACTCGTTCTTGTTTTGAGAGATTATAGCCAATGGAGGAGGAAGTGGTGACAGT